AAAAATTGACCCTTATGACTGGTTTTGTGCTCCAGGGTAACATATAGCTAGCAAAATGAGGACATACTACACAGACTGTATGTTGCTTTCATATAAAGCTAAGTGTAATTAATAAATAGTTTAATTATTTAATAGTATAATTCATAATATAAATATATATATCGGTGTTATTGATATAATATTTTAGTTTTTATTCATTTTGATTGCATTTTTGTTTTCCATATTCATTTTCATTTAACTTATGTTTTTGTCATTTAAAAAAAATGTGTATATAATTAGTGTATAGTATTCAATTTTATTTCAGGTTTAGTTATTGTAGTACTTCTACTTATTATATATTTTTTTATTTCAGTTTACAATAATAGCTTGGTACTTATTAGAATTTTACACTTAACTTTCATTTTATTTTAAATAATGAAAATGTTTTTGTATTGTTTTGTATTTGTTTTAGTTTGATAATGACCCTGGTATAAATATTATTAATTATTTTATATATAATAAATAATTAATCAATGCAGACTCTAAAAGAAAACAGGAATACAGAAGAATTATTTTTGTTTTTTAAGGAAAATTTGAAAATTTTATTTTTATTTGTTTATATATATAATTAATAAAATTAGAACAGTTTTTATATTTTAATTTATTTCAGTTAATGTTTATTTTATTTTAAATAATACAGACTACCCCAAAAGAAATGCAGGTAATGCAAATTAAATATTTTTAGAAGGTCAGATGGTATTATCTATTATTACATTATTACACAAACAAAAATGTCACTTTATAACAAGTAATAATAATCTTATGAAGTGTCTGATTTCATTTACTGAAAATACTACCATAAATTACACAAGACATTTACAATTATATTTACTGTTATATCTCTGAATCATTTTTTAGAAAGTTTTCAGATGTCCTTAAAGGAATGTTTTGCTATATTTAGCTGATTCATGTCAACAGTTTTGTCCCAAAAGGGTAGCAAAGTAAACCCACATACTTACTGTTCCATGTATATACCGAGTATGAAATATTCATCAATATTGCTACTTCCAAACAAACACAACTCACTCAGCTGCAAAGCTGAAGCGTCTCATTGAATAGGAGAAATGCAGCTAAACTAAGCATCCATTTTCACACCAGAAATTAAATCCTCTCCCACCTCTGTGCCGTGAGAGACAGAAGGAGGTTGGGAGCGAGAGTGTTGGGTAAAGGGGCGATATGGCATTTATGACTCACGCGCACAAATATCATACTGATGCTCTGATTGAGAATGCATAATTTCAGCGATGTACTCAGGAGACAACGTAATGCATCATGGGTTTCTTTCCCATCGCAGCTTGTCCCAGTACAGCGACGAGAACATGATGGACCCTGGAAACTTGGCTATATGCTTTGGCCCCACTTTGATGCCCACCCCGGACCTCCTGGACCAGGTCTCATGTCAGGCTCACGTCAACGAGATTGTCAAAACCATCATCATCCACCATGAAACCATCTTCCCTGACACCAAAGAGTTGGAGGGACCCGTTTATGAGAAATGCATGAGCAATACTGAGTACTGGTGAGTTCATGTGCGTAACTAATTACCGTATTCCCATTTAAAGTGTATTGCAGTATGTTGATCATCTTTTGTGCTCTTTAAGTGAAAGTCCGTACAGTGAACCTGGAGCGTTTGAGGAGGGGGAGCAGGATGGAGGGACGGAAACACAGACGAGCGAGGAGGGTAAATACATACGTGCATATTCGTTTTTATTAATCACAAAAATACAGAATGCTGAATTTGTCTGTATTTCTTTCAGAGGGTGAGCCTGTGGAGGCCACAGCCAAGTTTGACTATGTGGGACGGTCTGGACGGGAGCTGGCCTTTAAAAAAGGAGCCACTCTGCTGCTGCTTCAGAGAGCGTCTGAAGACTGGTGGGAGGGACGGCACAATGGCATTGACGGACTCATACCACACCAATACGTCACGCTGCAGGAGTGAGTTCACACGCTTCATCTACATATTCAAGGCAACAAGATAAGATAAAAAAAAAAAAAA